CACACACACACACACACACACACACACACACACACACACACAGTGTGGTTGGATTGGTAAAGCAGCCATAAATCTGTGCAGTTTTAAGATTTAATTTGAAGATTTAGAACTTAGCCAGACAAATCTTGGGGAAAATTGTAACATTTTGTGTTTTTCCCCCAAATAAGCTGCCTTCTTTTGATAAACAAAAAGAGAAGAATATCTTCACATCATCAAAGCATTCTTACTTACAGTCTGGTAAACTGTTTTGCTCAGCAGATGTGCAAAAATAAAAGCCCTGTGTTTTCAATGCATCTGGCGTGACCACTAAAAACTCTCTTCGTAGGACAAAAAAGTGCTGAATTGTTCATTTCTTCTTGTTCCAGATGATCACTCCAGAATCACCTTGAAGGTGGAGAACAGCCAAGGCAACTCTGATTACATCAACGCCAGCCCGATTGTGAGTTCCTCCTCTGCTTTCTAACTCTGCGTTTCACACGGCTGCTCTGCCAGGCTCCCCACAGCCCCCACGGGGCATGGCAGAAACAAAGGCAGCCTACCATTGTCCAATATAAATTTTGATGCAATGCTTGCTTTGCTCCGGTAGCAGCCTCGCAGCATGTGTATGTTCCCCAGCATGAATATTAATGATGGCTGWACAGCAAACACCCCGGGCTGGAGTTTGCTGGAGGAAGATTTGAGGAAAGGACATGCACATGACTTGCTTTTCATTTGCGAAACTAAAATTGATCCGTGGGGTCTTGAGGAAATGATTGTTTCTGACCTTGGGTTATGCTAATTTGACACTACTTTGTGTTTACCGTTACGGTGCGATTGGCATGCTGAGGATATCTCTTGGCACAGTGCAGGTTTAAAAAGCCTGCGGGGAAGAAAAAAGGAAGAAAAGAGTCATGCGAATGCAGTAAGTGAGTGAATCAATTTGGAAACCAGTGTTGGAATTGTAGGTTTATATTCCCCTCGAGGCAGATACACTGCTATTCCATTAAAAGCAACAGGAACGCAATGCATTTCCAATCTGATCGTTGCACCAAAAAAACGTGGCTGCGAGAGCAAGAGCATCAAGAAGGAATCAAACTATATGAAAACAAAAAAGCAACTCTAATGCCACAAACAGGTGAATGCAACACGTACTCACACCTGCACAAAAAGCAGAATTACACACTCATGAATATGTGTACACACGAAATGCACCGGCACACATGCACACACAGAAATGACATGGAGTGCAAACACCCACACAGACATGATAAAGCACACGCTGGAACATGACACACAATCACTGCCGAGCGTACATCTCCACCTCCCACTCACTCTAATAATACAGCCTGGATGTATGTGGCTGTATGTTCCTGCTGTGGTTATTTAAAGACGTTTCCACCATGTTCACCCACGCTTCGACCAAACGACAGCGATGACAAAATGTTCCAGATCTTCTTCCAGCAGCTTGTCACTAACCGTAAAGTGTTATATCCTACAGTCATGAAAGTGTGGGTAATCATGTAACTGCATCTGTCTGACTCAAACCACTGGACAGATTTCAAAGAAACTGTCAAAGTAACCATCTTAATTGTTGATTCAGGGTTCATGTGGATCCTTGAAAAGTCTTTAAAGACATTGAATTCATCCATCCAAAAATAAGGCCTTAATTAGCCTTAAAATGTCTTAAATCAATTTTCAGAAGTCTTAATGTTAACACATTGTAAGTAAGATGATTGTAATTCATCTCACATATTAAAATAATTGGTAACATTTATATATTTTTATTTATCCATGGGACACTAAGTGTCTTTTCGGGGACTAATGGGTTTTTTATCTGTCCCCAGAAACCATAACCATAATTTATCAAGTTTGTAAAACAGCTCGTTGTAACATTTATATATTTTTATTTATCCATGGGACACTAAGTGTCTTTTCGGGGACTAATGGGTTTTTTATCTGTCCCCAGTAACCATAACCATAATTTATCAAGTTTGTAAAACAGCTCGTTGTTGTATGTTAAAATAAACTTTTGGCTAAAATTGTTGCTGTTATTTTTTTATTTATTTATTGAAAAGTTTGTATTAAATTTCATTTCAAGTGGCATTAAAAAGTCTTAAATAGTCTTAAGTTTAACTTTCCTTAAGCTGCAGGAACCCTGTGATTAATCTTAGCAAACACAAACGACGACAACTCGATCACCTACAGATACCCTCAATGAATTCTGATTTCATTTATTAAATGTATTGGCTGTGATGCTAAACATGATCAAATGACCTACTTTTGGACGAATTCTTAAAATCACCATGGAGTTATATATTTACAACTTTAAAGTGCCTGCATGCATATCCTTCAAATACAAAAAGATCTTTAGAGTCAAACATGCAAAAACTGTCCATCTTACCAAGTTTTAAAATCTTATATCAGCCAAAAAGTCTTTTTGATCTTGTTTTCAGACTGATTTACTAAACAAGAACTGATTGTGTAAGAATAATCATCTTGTTTTCAGAATGTGTAAGATTATTTGTCTTGTTAGTCTGAAAATTTGACTCAAATTAAGTCAAAATTTCTGCCAGTGGAGTAAGAACATTTTACTTGGTAAGATTCTTGAAATAAGAAAAAATTGAGTCAAATCAAGTATTTCAAGAAGTCTTACCAAGTTAGTTAAAATGAGATTAGAAGGTAGGATAAATATTTATTTTCTTTTGCAGTGTATAGAACTAAATTTAAAGGGGGACTTCCATATTTATTAGCAAATTATAATCGACATATTCACTTTAAAATCCCAGTTAGAGTTCCACAAAGTTACAGACGTAATCAATCACTCCTATCCTCCTTTAACAAGAACACACTGACAATCTAAAACACATTCAATAGTTTCCTCACAGACACACACACACACACACACACACACACACACTGACTCAATCACCCCATCATGTAACGCCTAACTTCATTAAACACTTCTGATAACACAAGCCTCAAAGCCTTAACACATTTACTGACTTCTCTTGGTTAGGGATTTATGAGCTATACAAATTAAAGTTAACACTTCAAAATAATTGTTCTTTTTAAATTGTATTACAGTTTATTAGAACACCTCTAACATTTATGTTTGAGTTTTTTTAATTATAAAGATTGTTTTGATCAAATTGTCTCAGTCTCAGAAATATACATGAAAACAATTCAAGCAATTATAAAAGTTTTGTTTTCTTGCTATTTATACAATAAAATATTACCTCTTAATGGCTTTTTAAATAGGTAAACCTATTTAGGTTTTTATTCCTTTAAGCAATTAATCATTGAATATTCTCACAGAAATGTGTTGACCGTGCATTTACACACAAGGATCTGCCTAAAAAAGAAAATAAAAGCAGTCTTTATAAAAAAAGTGTGTACTTGTTTCTGATGCTGCCTGTACTCCAGTTGTGGTAGTTTTTAGTTTCAAAATCATCATTTTATGAATTTCTCAGATCTACAACTAAAAGTTTTTAGTGAATGGATAAAAAACACCAAGAAAGCAGCAGCTTTCTGCAAAGAAAAAATAATTTCAAAGATGGGTTGTGGAAATAAAGGAGAGATAAAAGTATTTCTGGTTGAAGCTGATAGGAAGAAGCAGGTAATTGAAAAAAATCAATCATTACAGCCCAGGAAGGCAGGAAATACAACACTACAGTGGGAGTGGAAAGAATAGGATGGTGCTCGATGCTTACTGTTAACAGTAAAACTACAGTGAGCACTGGGAGAAGTAAAGTTTTATGATGTACAACTGTGAGAAAACACTTTTAAGAAACCTGATAATCTTAGACGCACAGAACACGGTAGAAAAAAACACCTCGCCTCGTTTCAACAGTAAAGCTGCAGAGATGATATTTTCAGCCACTTAGCACCAATTTCCTTCATATTCTTGCTGACCATGTCCATCCCTTTATGACCACAATGTACCCAACATCTGATGGCAACTTTCAGCAGGATAATGCTCCCAGCTACGGGGTAATATTATCTGCTTTCTTAGCTATGATGATAGCTTTCACAGTGACTACATCTCAGTCTAAAAAGAGGACGGTGAGGGGTGGGTGGCGTTCTGGGAGATTCACCAACAGATCTGCAGAAATGGCATTGTTCTGTTGTGTAAGTAAGGATCAGCATCTCTGAGGATTGTTGGAAGCATTTTGTTCCATCAGAGCTACAAAAACCCAACACTGTGCTGGAAGCCTGATCTGACTGAAGCAAAGTTTATGGATTGGGGGTCTTCACCTGCTTTGATGATGTAGATTTGTGTTTTAAATGGAGGCAGCACTTCTTAAAGGAATGCTTCTATCCTTCTACCTTGCATACCAAAGTTTTAAATGTTGCAGCATCTGTTAGCTCTCAAATTACGAGTTCTGGATCAGGTTCAGCTACCAGCACATCAAATTTTAGATGTTTCACCAATTACTTTAAATACTTTAAATATCAGCTTGTCTTCTAAACTTAGTCACCCCTGAGACCCAACAGTTCCTGGTAAATTAAGCTCATTCTCAATATCTCAATATCCGTCCATCCGTTTTCTTCCTCTCATCGGTCTCGGGGGCAGCAGCATCAGCAGAAAGACCAGACCTCCCTCTCTCCAGACACTTGGACCAGCTCCTCTGGGGGAATCCCAAGGTGTTCCCAGGCCAGCTGAGAAACATAGTCCCTCCAGCGTGTCCTGGGTCTTCCTCTGGACCTCCTTGCAGTGGGACGTGTCCAGAACACCTCACCAGGGAGGAGTCCAGGAGGCATCCTAACCAGATGAACCACCTCAACTGGTTCCTCTCGACGTGGAGGAGCAGCGGCTCTACTCTGAGTCCCTCCTGGATGACTGAGCTTCTTAGCCTATCTCTAAGGGAGAGCCCAGACACCCTGTAGAGGAAACTCATTTCAGCTGCTTGTATCTGTGATCTCGTTCTTTCGGTCACTACCCAAAGCTCCTGACCATAGATGAGGGCAGGAACGTAGAGCTTCACATTCTGGCTCAGCTCTCTCTTCACCACGACAGACCGGTACAACGCCCACATCACTGCAGATGCAGCATCAATCCACCTGTCGATCTCCTGCTCCATTCTTCCCTCATTCATGAACAAGACCCCAACATACTTGAACTCCTCCACTTGGGGCAGGACCTCCTCCCCGACCCGGAGAGGGCACCCTACCCTTTTCTGGCTCAAGACCATGGTCTCAGATTTGGAGGCACTGATCCTGATCCCGGCTGCTTCACACTCGGCTGTGAACCGCTGCAGTGACAGCTGGAGATCAGGATCTGATGAAGCCAATAGGACCATATCTGCAAAAAGCAGAGATGAGATCCTAAGATCACCAAAATGGATCCCCTCAACACCTCGGCTTAATATCAATATAATCATTGACACAGTTTCATTGACCTCACTTCTTGTTATCTACACTGCTCAGCCACCTGGATTTAACTAAGCAAATTGGTACTCCTATCGTATAATTACTGCATGGACGATTATCTTTCAGCTGCAACAAGTTATTTAACCCCAACTGGTGTGATGAGTTGCTTCTCATTTCTTAAACAACCATACTGAAAGACACATCCTGTGGTCGTGGAAACGATGTCAGTCTGTTTGAGACTGGCATGCATCAAGCAGAGCAAACATCTAGATTGCAGAAACTACTAAAGCTAGGTTAAGAACTGTCCAACGCATTATTAAAAACTGGAAGGATAGCCAGGTCTAAGAAGCTTATCCAAACAACGCCACAGTGAGTACGTGCTACAATCAAAGCCGAAGGCCCAACGTAATATAAGTGTGACCTTTGTTTTTGGCTAGGTAGTGTATATTTGCCCTTTATGAAAATGCAGAAGTATTTTTCTTTGCAATCCCACTGACGGTCATGCTGGGGGGGGGGGGGGGGGGGGGGGGGGGGGGGGGGGGACGTGTGGCTCAATGTCCTGATGCTTTAACACACAGCTGAGGTTTGAAGCACTGATCCTGCAGAGTCTGACCACTTTATCACCATTTTAGAGTTTGAATGTTGCATCAAAGTAAGTGGGAGAGTCAAAGTATTTGAATTTCATTTATGAACAAGTGAAAATTCTGAAAGTATTGCATGAATAAATGCTCATTTCCACAGATAATTTGAACCCAAAAACTAAAATCAGAGGTTACTTTGTTTCCTAAAATTGAGACAATTACTGCTAATCCTTGCAGTCGTCAGGAATCAGCTGAGAGGACAAATGGTCTCTGTCAGCTCAAGTGAGGTGTCAGACAGCAATAATAGTCTCCTTTCTTTTTAAAACTTCATTCCACAGATAAGACAGCGTGACACAGACACACACGGGTTTGACTCGTTTCTTCTAATCAAAGAAAAGACAAAAACCCAACAACAGGGATAATTACATGTCACATCCTACACTCTTGCTTTTTGTTAAGAGGAGTTTGTATAAAAGACAGAGAGACAGTTGTCTTGTTTCAGTGACATTAATGGCTAGGTTTAATTCTGGAGCTGCTTTCAGATGTCAGGAAACTCTCTAGAGATTGAAAAGAATAAAAAGGAGAAATAAAAATGAGAGTCCTTTTTTGTCATTTTTAATATATTTTCCAGCTTTTTACCACTTATTTTTATCTTTTTTTTTTATCTTTCTCCCTAACAGGTTATGTGTGTTACACTTTCAGTATCTAGAGTCCTATCCTCTGGATCTTTTAGGATATTTTCTGTTCTTTTCTGTTACGTAGGCTCAAACATATAGAGGGTTGATCCCAGGTACCCCAGTACAGGGATCTGGACTGGTCCACTTTCTAAAGGGTCTGAGTCACAGGACTGCTCAGGGCAGGAGCCGTGTTGGTTCAGTTTCACCTCATTTCCAGCATCAAACTGAGTGGCTTTACCAGTTCACCACTTCTGCCAGCCATGCCTGTTAACAAGGCCCCACTATTTAATCCATAATAAATGTTGCAGCCATTAAATTTCCCCTTAAATTAAACAGAAAAATGCCCTAATTAAAAAAAACAACCATGTAATGTCTGTATAAACCAGGACTGTCAAACCCATTTTGACTGAGGGCCACATGAACGTTATGGTGGCCCTTGAAGGGCCAGTTGTAGTTAACATTGACATTTCATGTTTAACTTTGACTAAACAGTGTTTTAACATGTCCTCTTTCAAACACTGACAAGAACTAAGTGTATGACGGACTAAATCTGAACAAAATAAATAAATTATATTAAAAGTAAAACTAAAAGTTTTACTCACTGATGAGTTTCTAGTGAGTAGCTGCCATCTTGAATTCTGAACTCTCCCACTTTCTGACAGGGAATTCCCATGGATGGTCCACATGCATTATGGGAGATATACAGTAGTTTATGGTCGATGCTGACTTTAAAACCGCTCATTTTGTGACATTAATACTGAGCTATGCAACTAAATAGCTCAGTTACTTAAAGCCAACAGCTCAGGGGCTGGACAGTTATTATGTTTCACTTTTAAATGAGTTTATTTTGTTGCATTTAATCATAAATTTAAAGTTTACCATTGATATAAGAAACAATTTTCATTTAAAAAAATGTAAATGGGGGGTAGCCCRCTGTCGGGCCAGACCAAGGCAAATCTTCAGCAGTGGGCTTCCTGCTAATGTTCATGTTGCAGTTCTTTCTGTCAATAATGAAGAAAACCTCACTGATAAGATGTCCCTCACCTTTATTATGTCCTCTTTAAGTTCATTAGATGTGTGTTGTTTGCATTCACAAAAGCAACAGAGGACCGTTAAAGGCAGTTTGATGTGCAGAAAAGCCCAAGAAATGATTTGTCTTCTCTGATCATCTCCAGCTAAATTGGTCTCACCAATTATTACATTTACTGCTAATAAGCAGGGGTGTCACTCACGTACTCACAAATTCTGCTCATGTTTGTCTCCTGCTCTCTACGCCTCCACCCTCTTTTTTTTTTCTTTAAGTTCAGGAAAAGTCTGAGACAGTTCAGCCTCTCACCTCCTGCAGCACAACGCTTCCAGCTGTGAGAACAGGAGAAAGACTTCTGTTCTCTTTGAAARGGATTGTCTTTGTGTAATCATTTCTGATTTATAAAATGACAAAAWACTGAAATTTCACCATAAATAGGTTTATTTAAAGAATGTTTTCAGACAAWTTGCTTGTATTGCAAACCTCCAGAAGGTGTTTGTTGTGAATCCAGGTGAAAGTTTCTATATTTTTGATGCAATTCTGCATCTCTAACAACTGCAGCTAAAAGAGAGAGACGACTCTTTGTTTCTGCAAACAGTGATTTGAWAATCAAACATGACTAGAAATCTAAAATCAGTTTTATCTCACAGGATACAGCCTTTTTGGATAACTGCCATAAATTATTAGAACAGAATGAGTGTTTTTTGTGCACTTTAAAAAAGTGTATTTTTCATTGTAAAACAAACATCTTCATAAATAAATAAAATAAAAAGTTTCTTTTTCTAACTTTTTTTCTTCCATTTTGTAATTTTTCTCCAGATGGATCGTGATCCCAGAAACCCGGCGTATATCGCCACTCAAGGCCCCCTGCCCTCCACCGTGGCTGATTTCTGGCAGGTAAGGACACACAATAATCTGCACACACACACACACACACACACTCACACACACCATCACACACTCTTGAAAACAAAATCAATACAGTCCCCTCTCTTAAACAACAGTTAGCCGATTTTTATTAGTGCAGCAAGCCACACAGGAGAGCAGCTTGTTCTGTGGATGTCATTATTAATCTTTCCTTCCCCATAATGCTCACTGCCTACACCACAACTACACACACACACACACACACACACACACACAGCTGTCGACAGCGGGGCTCACTGTTAATGTAGGAGGTGGCAAACACTTTTCCCATTGTCTCCAATGTTGGATTGGGTTTGAATTGGAGAGCAGAAGATCAATAAGTTATTTTAGCCACTTCTTGGGTCTCTGTGTTTGTTGAGTGGGTGGG